CCTATTCAAAAACTAAAGCAACATACACGGTTTGTTGGAGATACCGTAGAATCCATTTCACAGCTTGCCAATGTCTTTCTCCAGGATCATGCATGTACCTGCTCACAACTCCAACTGCTTGTGAAATGTCAGGACGCGTACACACCATTGCATACATCAAGCTCCCAACTGCATTAGCATATGGAACTTTTTTCATATACTTTCGTTCTTCGTTAATTTTAGGAGATAATTGATAACTAAGTTTTAAATGAGAAGCCAGTGGGATACTTACATGTTTGGTATTTTCATTCATGCCAAAACATTGTAACATCTTTCTCAGATACTGTTTCTGTGTTAAACAAAGCTTCACTCTCTGTCTATATCTTCTTATCTCCATACCAAGAATCTTCTTGGCCTCACCTAGATCTTTCAACTCAAACTCTTGATTCAACTGAGCCTTTAATTTGTCTATCTCCTTTTGACTCTTCGAAGCGATCAACATATCGTCAACGTACAAGAGAAGATAAATGAAAGATCCATCTTTGAGCTTTTACAAATACACACAATGATCATATTTACTTCTAGTGTATTTTTCCCTCCTCATAAAGCTATCAAATTGCTTGTACCACTGCCTCGGAGATTGCTTCAATCCATATAGCGATTTGTTCAGCTTACAAACCTATTTCTCACAACCACCATCTTTGTATCCTTCTGGCTAAGTCATATAGATCTCCTCTTCTAAATCACCGTGCAAGAAACCCGTCTTTACATCAAGTTGAGCTAGTTCCAAATTCAACTGTGCTACTAAGGCCAGCAATATTCTAATAGAGGAATGCTTCACAACAGAGGAAAATACTTCATTGTAGTCGATTCCCTCCTTTTGAGCGAAGCCTTTAGCTACCAACCGTGCTTTGTAGCGAACATCTTTCTTGCTATGAGATACATCTTTCTTTGCAAATACCCACTTACATCCAATTGCTCTTTTACCTTTCGGTAATTGTGCCAGTTTCCAAGTGTTGTTCTTTTGGAGAGATTGAATTTCTTCATCCATGGCACTTTTCCACTTATAACTTTCCAAGCTTTGTATTGCTTCTTGGTAAGTGATAGGGATATCATCATCAACAATTAGAAGAGCATAGAGGCCACCATATCAACAAATCGAGCAGGTCTACGAATTTCTCTCATTGGCCTTGTAATTGTAAGTGGTTCTGGTATCTCCAATGGTTCTTGGGTTTGAACCTCTTCATATTCTGATTCTTCTATTGGAGTTGAAGAATCAGCTGCATCAACTTCTGGGATCATCATCTGCTGAAACTTCACCTGTTTTGGAGTATGCTCCACCTGCTGCAGAGTATTACTTGTCTGGACAACTTCATTTGTTACCTTCTTTACTAGGGTAGATTCATCAAAGGTAACATCTCTGCTACAAATTATCTTCTTGGTGTCTAAACACCAAAGACAAAATCCCTTCACTCCATGGGTAATTCCCATAAGAGAGCCTTCTTTGCTCTCGGATCAAGCTTGGATTCCTTCACATGATAATAAGTAGTGGATCCAAATACATGTAAGGAATCATAATCAGTAGCAGGTTTTCCAGACCATACCTCCAATGGTGTTTTCCTCCTATCGCTGATGATGGCAGACGATTGATGAGATGGCCAGCATATGTCATAGCCTCAGCCCAAAATACCTTGCTTAACCCAGCATTAGACAACATACATCGAACTTTCTCCAATAGTGTTCGATTCATATGCTATGCCACCCCATTTTGTTGTGGTGTATTTCTAACAGTGAAGTATCGAACAATACCATACTCATAGCAAACGTCAAAGAATTGGTCACTTTTATATCCCCTCCATTGTTCGTCCTAAGAAGTTTGATCTTTCTACCAGTCTGGTTCTCGATCATATTTTTCCATTTAAGGAAAATTCAAAGCACTTCATCTTTAGACTTCATCAGATACACCCAAACTCTTCTGGAAAAGTCATCTACAAAAGTTACAAAATAATGGTTTTCTCCTAAAGACGATGTCTTTGAAGGACCCCATACATCTGAGTGTATATAATTCACAATACCTTTTGTATTATATATAGTGGTGCCAAACTTCACTCTCTTCTGCTTTCCCAGAACACAATGCTCGCAAAAGTTTAATTTGCAAGCCTTTGCACCTTTCAACAATCATATTTGCTAGAATTTGCAAGGATTTCTCTCCAGCATGTCCCAACCTCATATGCCACAACTAGGTTGCGTCCAAAACATCTCCTCCGGAAGCTGCTATAACTGCTCCAATAATTGTACTACCTTGGTAGTAATACAAATTATTTTTTCTGATGCCCTTCATCATCACAAGTGCGCTATATGTGACTTTTAAAACTCCATCTCTCATAGTGAATACTGAGCCTTTGGATTCCAAGGCTCCCAATGAGATGAGATTTTTCTTCAAACTGGGCATGTATCAGACATCAATTAGAACTCTGGTTGATCCATCTTGATTCTTCAATAGAATTGAACATATCCCAACAGTTTTATAGGCATTGTCATTGCCCACATAAACAACTCCTTCATTTAGTTCTACTAAATCGGAGAACCACTCCCTATTAGGGGACATATGATAGGTACAACCCGAATCTAATATCCATTCATTTGAATGGAATATTGTTAATGAAGAAACCAATAATATGTCAGAGTCATTTGCATCATGCTCTGCAACACATGCATCTGGAGCAGTTTTTCCTTTCTTCTTCAACTTCGGAAAATCTTTTTTCCAATGACCTTTCTAATGACAAATGCACATTTATCTTTTCCCAGTCTGGACTTCGACTTTGATCTCCCTCTCCACTTTGGCTTTTGACTTTTCGAGCGACCTCTTGCCACCATGACCTCCGCTGCTTCGTACTTGCTCTCATTCTTGGTTTTCATCCTGAGCTCATAACTATACAAAGCAGCAGTTACATCTTTAAGGGTAACATTATCCTGACCATGAAGTAGTGTTGTCTCAAGGTGCTCAAATTCATCTGGAAGAGATGACAACAACATTAAGGCCAAATCTTCATCTTTGAAGGTTTCATCCATGCCCAATAAGTCTATCACTAGCTCATTGAACGAGTAATGTGTTCATTCATACTGGTGTCTGGTTGATAATCAAATCTGAATAATCTTTTCTTTATGTGGAGACGATTTTGAGAGATTTTCTTTAGGAATTTTTCCTCCAATGCTTTCCACATCTTACTTGCAGAAGTCTCATTCTTGTAGCCACACTTCTGCTCCCTGGAAAGACAAGATTGAATCGTGCTGCACGCCAAACGATTGATTGTTCCCCCATTCTTTCTCCTCCATATATTCGGGCTTTTCTTCCTCAATGACGATGTCTAGAACTTGTTGGAATAAAACTTCTAACACCTCGCCTTGCCACATGCCAAAATGACCGGATCCATCGAACAACTCCACCGAGAAATTTGTATTTGACATCATCCTTCTCATCGGTCCGGATGAAGAGCTTGATGTCTCAACTGATCCGTATTTTGGCATTTTAATTCCAACGAACAATAATCAATATCACGAAATGTATCTTTTCAGCAACGGAACCACCAGGATAACCTCAACCGAAGCTTTGATACCAATTGTTGGAGAAAATTAGGTTATTTCCCACACGAACGTAGTTTTAAAATTGACCTAAAATGTCAAGATCAAAACTAACAAAGGTTGCACAGTGGATAAACCTGTCAAACTATTGAATATTGTAACACAATGGAAAAACTGAATAAAAAACAATAAACGAGAGAACACACCAAATTTACGAGGTTCAACGAGAATATCGTCTACTCCACGGCCACCACACCGGATGATAACTTCACTATCAATAAAATATTACAACAAATGGAATTCTTTAGAATTTCCAAAGTGAGAGAATGAAGAAAACAAATGGAAGAGAGAACTTGTTTTTGGATGATTTCTAATGAAATACTTATGCCTATTTATAGTTGAGTTCTAAGGACTAAACTTATAAATAACCTAATATTTTAAGGACCAAACATGAAAAATAAGTTGGCCACCTACCAAAGATTTTTCCAATGAGTTGGCCACCAACCAAGATTAATTTTTCAATAAGTTGGCCACCAACCAAGATGAAATTTTCAATCTTGCCAAACTTAATTTCAACCAAGATTGTGTTCATACAATCTCCATGCCTACATCTCCTTCAAGGTATGAGGGAAAAAGGCTTTCGTTTTTTCAAGTTGTTCCAATTTTTTGAGCTTATGTGTCAATTTTGTTTTGGAGGTGACTTTCACAGAGCATCATGGCTCATTCTTGCACTTCCTAACAAATGTTTGTGCTATAGTTGGAGGTAAGGGTCCTTTCGCGCTTAATTGTTGATGAGGATTCGAGGTAGTTGATTATATATGTTTCAATCCACTATATAATATATGGTAATACAAGTGTTTTCTCGGTTGCGGGAATCTAGACTCATGTATATACCATGGTCACCAAGCAATGAAAAGGAAGATGAAATTAGATAAAACCAGTTGATGATTGATGGAGCTGTTGGCTTGAAATTTTCTGCTTCTTCTTTGTTTAGAAAAATTATAGTAGAAGTGGAATACCATTACCATTACTTACCGCCTAGCCCTGTTCAGTTTTTTGCTACTGAAATTTTGTTCACGCCATTCTTGTTGTTGAGAAGTTAGGAGTTAGTTAACAGATTTGTTAATTAGTTAGCAGTTGGTTATAAGGTAGTTAGTATGTTAGCTGATGTAATCAAATTGTATATAAATATAGTGTACTGGAATAGTTATTAATAAGATTATATGAGATATTTTTTTCACACGTGTTTTAACATGGTATCAGAGGAAATGTCTCGTATGGGGGCTCGACCTTTCTGATTTTCCCCTCTTTCTTCACTGAATCGCTCTTTTTTTCCTCTCCGTTTCCATGGCATTGATCGATTTCTCACATCCTCTCTATCTTCATCCGTCGGATACGCCTGGCACTGTACTGGTTTCGCATAAGCTGACGGGAATTGAGAATTACAACCTCTGGAGCCGCTCGATTCGAATCACGCTGCTAGTAAAGAACAAGTTAGGGTTCATCGATGGTGACTGTGTTCGTGATAATTTCGCTGAACTCTTGCAATCGCAGTGGGATAGATGTAATGCAATCGTTCTCTTGTGGATTTTAAATACTGTAAGTGCTGACCTCTCTGCGGGATTAGTATTCGCTTCCACTGCTGCACTTGTTTGGAAAGATTTGAAGGAGCGTTTCAGCAAGATTGATGGCTCACAAATCTTCTTCTTACATCGAGAGATTGCTCTCTTTACTCAAGGTGATTCATCGATTTCTACCTATTATTCGCGTCTGAAGTTACTTTGGGATGAGTACAGTGCTTTAGTTCCTGTCTCTTCGTGTAACTGTGTCGATTCTTCGCAAGCCTTGAATCATGTTCTTCAACAACGATTATTTCAGTTTTTAATGGGATTGAATGAGACGTATTATGCCATTCGGAGCCAGATTCTTCTTCTGGATCCGCTCCCTTCTGTTAATCAGGCGTATTCAATGGTGGTTCAGGAGGAGTCACAGAGATATCTATCTTCAGGCGTTTCACCACTTTCTGATGCGACGGTGATGTACTCCAATTCCTCTAATCCTCGCCGTGCAAGGTTTAATAGAGTCTGTGACTTTTGTAAGATTCGTGGCCATAAACGTGAACAGTGTTATAGGCTCAATGGCTTTCCTCCTGAGTTCAAGTTCACAAAGGAAAAGAAGACTTCTTCTGCCATGGTGGCTAACTCTGATCAGAATGATACTCATTCTGAGTCTTCCCCGTTGCCTGCTCCCTTGGCTCCAATGTTTACCACAGACCAGTATAATCGATTGCTGGAGCTCCTCAACAAGGATATTCATGATTCTAGTAATGTTGTTGCGGCTAACTTTGCAGGTATGATTCATGGTGCTTTACATGCTTCTAAAAGTAATTCAATTACATGGATTCTTGACACTGGAGCTACTGACCATATGTTGTCTAGTTTTGAATGCTTGAGTAATCCTGTTTCATGTACCTCTCGATTTGTTCATCTTCCGAATGGTAAAACCCTTCCTATCACACATACTGGTTCCTATTGGTTTGATTCTTCTCACTGTTTAAAAAACGTACTATATGTTCCTTCATTCACTCACAATTTGTTATCTGTTTCCAAGCTGACAATAGACTTAAATTGTGTTGTTCAGTTTTATCCTGATTTTTGTATCTTTCAGGATCTCTTCAATGGAAAGATGCTGGGGATTGGTAAGAAACAAGGAGGCTTGTATATTCTTCAATCTCTTGGTTCTTTTCTTAGTATTGCTTCTAAGGTGCCTTTCGATGTTACAACTCATTGTATGTCTTCTGTTAATAATAAAACTTCCATTTGACATGCTCGATTAGGTCATGCTTCTTTTCTCAAATTGCATCATATGTCATTAAGTGATTGCAAATTGGATTCTTCTATTATTCATTCTTGCTCGGTTTGTCCTTTAGCCAAACAAGCTAGGTTGCATTTCCCAATTAGTCAGTCTCGGTCTAGTCTTCCTTTTCAACTGATTCATATAGATTTATGGGGCCCATATAGAATTTCTACTCATAGTGGTCATAGGTTTTTTCTGACAATTGTTGATGATTGTACAAGAATGACATGGCTCTATTTACTGAAACTTAAGTCAGATGTTATTGTCTCTTTAAGGAAGTTTTTTTCTTTGGTCCTTAATCAATTTGAGGCTTCTATAAAAATAGTTCGTAGTGATAATGGGTCTGAATTTTTCAGTAAAGAATGATCTTTTTTTTTCTCTTCTTTTGGGGTTGTTCATCAGTCCTCTTGTGTTGATACTCCTCAGCAAAATGGGGTAGCTGAAAGGAAGCATAAACATTTGTTAGAAGTAGCTCGTGCACTTCGTTTTCAGTCTCGGGTACCTATTAAGTTTTGGGGTGAGTGTGTCTTAGCTACTTGTTATTTAATTAATAGGCTTCATTCTGCTATTCTTAATTGGAAATCTCCATATGAAATGTTTCATCATAAGCCTCATTCTTTGTTACATTTAAAGGTCTTTGGTTGCTTAGGTTATGCTACTCATACTAAGCCTAGTGATAAGTTTTTTCCTAGAGCTATTCCTTCGGTTTTTATGGGATATTCGGCTACTCAAAAGGGTTATTTGATGTTTAGTCTTGTTTCTAAAACTTTTTTTTGTTAGTAGGGATGTTAGGTTTCATGAGTATTCTTTTCCTTTTCATTCACCTGAATTGGTGTCTAGGTTATTTTCTTCTCAACCTGTTATACCTGATTCAGAGTTTTTTGTCATTGATTTGCCTATATCAGATGTGTCTTCAGCACATAATAATCTTTCCAATTTGTCTTCTCAATCTAGTCTTAGTGTTGGTAATCACGCGTCTCCTACATCTGTTACTTCTCGGTCTTCTACTATTTCTATTAATCCGGTTGTTAGGAGGTCTTCTAGAGTGTCTAAGCCTCCACTGTGGTTAAATGAGTATGTTTCTTGCCAATCATCCACTTCTAGCTATTATCTCATTTTAGATCATATTTTTTATTCTCATCTTCCACTTCACACTCAGTCTTTTCTTTCTTCCACTTCCATTGTTGAACCTACTAGTTATAGTGATGCCATTAAAGATCCTTTATGGGTCACTTCCATGCAAGAGGAGATTCAAGCATTAGAATTAAACAACACTTGGTGTGTCGTTCCTTTGCCACCGGGTAAGGTTCCCATTGGATGCAAGTGGGTGTATAAGGTCAAGTTTCGGTCCAATGGTGAGATTGAACGTTACAAGGCACGTTTGGTTGCGAAGGGGTACAGTCAGCGAGAAGGTGTGGATTTTGTTGAAACTTTCTCGCCTGTTGCAAAGCTTGTCACGGTTTGAACTATTTTGGCGCTTGCCTCATTGCAATGTTGGTCTTTGTTTCAAATGGATGTATATAATGCGTTTCTTCAAGGCAATTTGCTTGAGGAGGTTTACATGCAGCTACCTCAAGGATTCTGCAGCCAGGGGGAGAACATGGTGTGTAGGCTGCAGAAGTCTATTTATGGTCTTAAACAAGCATCTAGGCAGTGGAACATGAGGCTGACTAAAGCGTTGGTTGCTGCTGGATACATTCAAAGTAAGTTCGATTACTCGCTTTTTACAAAGAGAGAAGGAACAAATATAGTGGTCATGCTTATATATGTTGATGATCTGTTGATTACTGGAAATAGTGCTGCCATGATAGAAGAGTTGAAAGTTATCTTGCATGCTAGTTTCAGAATGAAGGATCTAGGGGAACTTAAGTATTTTCTTGGTTTTGAGATACTTAGATCTAGTGAAGGAATTCTATTGAACCAAAGGAAGTATGCACTAGAATTAATAGAAGAAACAGGATTAGGAGGTGCAAAACATGTTTGTACTCCTATGGAACAGAATATGAAGCTTACTTCTACTGGTTATGATTCTGGTTTGGTTGAAAATGATAAAGAGAAGTTAGATGATGAAGTGTTGCAGGGTGAGAAAGAAGTCTTCCAGAGGTTAATAGGAAGGTTGATCTATCTCACTCATACAATACCAGATATCACTTTTGTGGTACACCATTTGAGTCAGTTTATGCAGCAACCAAAAAGATCACACTTGGAAGCTGCCCTTCGAGTGGTTAAGTATATAAAGAAGAGTCCTGGTCAGGGAATATTGTTGTCTTCTGCAGGACAATGTCAGCTAACAGCTTTTTGTGATGCTGACTGGGCAGCTTGTTTGATGACAAGGAGGTCAGTTACTGGATTCTGTGTTAAACTATGAGATTCCTTAATTTCTTGGAAATCAAAGAAGCAAAATACTATAGCAAGGTCATCAGCAGAGGCAGAATACAGAAGCATGGCAATGGTGGCAGCTGAAATTGTGTGGCTAAGAGGCTTGTTAGTAGAGTTGGGTGTAAAGGATCTTCAACCAGCCAGACTTTACTGTGACAGCAAGGCAGCACTGCAAATGGCAGCAAATCCAGTCTTCCATGAGAGGACCAAACATATTGAAATAGATTGTCATTTCATCCGAGAAAAAATACATGAAGGGGTGATCACCACAACTTATGTTCCATCAGCAAAACAGTTGGCAGATGTTTTAACCAAAGCTTTGGGAGCACAGCAGCATGAGTATTTAATTTTCAAGTTGGGAGTCAAAGATGTCTTTAGACTACCAACTTGAGGGGGAGTGTTGAGAAGTTAGGAGTTAGTTAACAGATTTGTTAATTAGTTAGCAGTTGGTTATAAGGTAGTTAGTATGTTAGCTGATGTAATCGAATTGTATATAAATATAGTGTACTGGAATAGTTATTAATAAGAAGATATGAGATATTTTTTTCACACGTGTTTTAACACTTGTCTATGCTCTAATTATATTGATTTACTCGTTCGTTCAATTTTGTTCAGAAAAATCGAAGTAGACTACCACTACTTACCCCCCTGTCCTGTTCAGTTTTTAGCTATTGAAATTCTGTTCACAGAATTATATTGATTTATTCCTTTCATTGAATAGATGTCTTATTATGACGATTGAATCATTAAACCTAACAATCGTTGGTTTAAATGAATTTTGATGTATCCTACATATGCTTCAATTTAAAAATTATTAAAACTCTGGCTCATTTAAAATAAATATCAGATTTAGGAAAAATTACTCGGCTCACCACATCATCTGTGGTCCCAACCAATAATAATTTTTCATCTTATTTTTTTAAGGTGAATCTTCACCTCAAATTTACTACGTGTAAATAAAAGGTGAATAATTATTTAAAAGTTATTTTAAAATTTATGACTATCTTTCACCAGGAAAATAGATGATGTGGTGAGCTGAGACCATAAAATAATTTATATAGAGTTAGACTCTAATATGTTACGATTTGAATTTCCCAAATGAGAAGGATCCATAGTATACCATACCCAGCGCAGAGTAACTCAATGGTGCCCAACTTACAAGGGAACTTTATATATATATATATATATATATATATATATATATATATATTAAACAACCTTGATTCGTTAGGCCTGCTTTTGAGTGATCAAAATGTACGCTTTCATACAAAGGAATATAACACAATCTATAGACACCTATTTCATTCGGGATTTAATTAGAATATTTTACTTTTATTTTTTTCTTATTTTATTTTTTTAGTATTGTTAAATTGTTAATATTAGTGCCATGTGTTATTATTGTTTAAAACATAAAATATAAATTAAAAAAATATAATTTAAATTTTTTTATCTTAAATTATAACTTAAAATTATAAAAAATTAATTATAAAAATAATAAATAATAAATATAAATATAATATAAAAATATGAAATTTAAGATTTTCATTAATGTTTTTATATTTTAAGATTTACACGTGTCATCACTTAATTGGTATTAAAATAATTATAAAAATAAATATATAAAATAGTAAATTTAGTTTTAAAATATAAAAAAATAACATTTTTTTGTAAATCTTTGATTAATTGCAATTAATGTATTTAAATATAAATAAAATATTATATTTGTTGAATTTTTTATGTGCTCTTTTATTTTATAATTTGTGTAAATTCTAAATTCTTTTTATTTGTGTACCATTAATAAGATTTTATAGGATAATCATTGGGGATCTTTGGCTTTGAGTTCCCAATTGCTCAATCATTCTCCCTGACGTTGTTTCAAATCTCCGTAAATGTAAATGTGTTCCCTTTATCTTCACTTTAAAATTGGGTGGTGACCAGTATATC